CCCCCCCGGGGTGGGAATAACAGGGCCTTTTTTCTCGGAAACCGGGGGGGGGCCCACAAGGTTGCCCTTTCCGCCCGGGCGCCCTTTTTGGGGGGATTTCTTCCTTTTTTTTCAACCCGTTTTTTGGGGGAAAAAAAAATTTTTTTGGATTTTTTTTTTTCGGGGGGAAAAGGGGGGCCCCAAACCTTTTTTGAGGCGCCCCCCCCCCGACCCGGGGGCAGGGGCGGAAATGGCATATGAATAAAAAAGGGTCCACCAATTAAAAAAAGGGGCAGGGGGGGGGGGGGGGGTGTACTCATAGTCGTGCATGCCGTAGTCGTTAGGGGGCGGGGGGGGTACGGGTACAACCATTTGGTAGTGCCGATAGAGTATGTAGCTGGTAATCAATAAATAGGCAGCGCACAGCAGTCGTTCCGTTTTTTACATTTCTCTGCAGGCAGGCTCGCTCGCCTGTGAAAGCTTTTTGACGGCACTCACACGACCGGGGAGGCGCGATTCTTGTTTGACATGACGACGTGCGTGTAGGGTCCGTGGCCTGTCCTGCCCGATAGAACAATCGGTGTGTCCGTTGCGTGCACACGCGTATGTACAGCAGTCGTTCTTTGGGTATCCAGAGAAGAGGCGATGGCACCTGTGTAAGCAGTGGAGTGCCCTCAGAATACAACTCGGTTGATACAGATGCCTCTGGTTCTTTTTTTTTTCCAACGATGTGCAAGATTGCTCACGTACCCCTGCTGGGCGCTCTTGGATGCGCAGCCACGGTACTGAAACTGGGCGATCACGGCGGCAGCGTCTTCTTGACACAGGAAAATGCGTGTGGTAACAGCATTGGTTTATATCTGTGTTTCATGTGCTTTGTTCATCGAGTTGTAAGTACAACCTGGTACCATGTATGTACATTGAAGAGTGTCTCCATCGCAACCGGTCAACCGATCCCAAGCCGCACTGCCTCGGCGACGACGCCTCACGACCAAAGGAACACAGAAGCAGCCACGGCGCCACGGCTGTGCGTACGACCCACCGCTTCATACTTCTATTAAACAACACCGTACACGCAGCTCTTAGCTCTTAGCAGATGGGCTGCTGTGATTGCTGCAGTGTAACTACATGCGTACTTCTTTGTACCATATGGCGTGTTTATTTTTTTACAGTAACAAACACAATGTGCCGTCAAACCTTGACGGAAACAACAAAATCACGCATGTATGTAGTTATTGCGTCGGAACATCTCCCAACGACTCTGCACCCGACTGCATACACACACACGACCCCCAAGTTGGAACGTCATAGGTGGTACGATTTCCTCCTGAGTTGCACAGCAGTAGCGGCAGCGACGAGGGCGACGACATCCACAACAACGTGTTATTGTTTATAAGAACGTTTGTGTGCTTATTTCAGTTTCAAAATTGCAGCAGCAGGAGTTCCTACCCAGCGCACCCCTGAAACAACGGTGGCCTTGTTTTTAACAGCCTGAAACCACAGGGGAGATACGTCTACATGCTGCCCAGAGCGGTTCGGTGGAACACACACCTGCACATTGTGTGTCGCTCATCTCCGGAAAGGAGCCGCTATAGGTACTACAGCTTGATTTCGACGCGGGCGAGCTCGCGCGAGGAAATATCCGAGAACGTTCTGGGCGCCACGCGCCCGCGGGAGATTGGCTGCGTGCAACTAATTACACACACAGGATGATATGCGTATGTAGAATATCACGACTCGTTATTCCACGCCCCCCACCGTCCCTAACCGCCTACGGCGGCGACGAGCAAGCGCACGAAGGTATTACAGCGATGTACGGGCTGCTACTGCTGCTACTGCTGCTGCCCTTCTGCCTCGCCCCATCTGCGTGCTCCCTGGCTCGTGCGTCGTTGCGGCTGATGCTAATGTTGGAGGGCAAGAACCCTCCGAAAAAATGAAGAAAACTAAAATGCATCTTGTCATTCTGCGGGTCCCCTGTTTCTTCCCAATGTCACGATGTTCGCGACGACCGTTACACTATTTGCCGGGGGATGCCCTGTACGGAAACATAACTACTGGTGCCAGGCCACCAACAGCACTACCATCGATAATTTGACGACACGAAATGCCAAGGAAGAAAAATATTGGGCAAGAAACAGCAGTTGATTGTTTTTGCTGTGTTTGTTGTTGTTGTTGTCTTCACGCCACGGACCGGCTGACGCGCCAACGTACGTATGTACCTTGCGTGGAAAACAGATGCACCAGGAGGTGCCCGTGAAGAACTTCAAGACCATGTTGGGCGGGACGATCAAGGCCTGTTTTAGCGGCAAGTCGGCCGTGGTGAGGAAACCGAGCCATTTTGGTTCGCGTGCTTGCGCATACTGCTTGGTGTGTTTCTCTTTAGAACACAAAAACATGAGGGGTGTCTGTGCACAGACCGTACGCGTAGGAATCCGGGATTAAGGAATCATAAATACACACACAGGGATAAACTAGCAATGAAACCCAGAACGTTACATGACGACAAATTGTGTGGTTCTGCTTTTCCCCGAGCGGCATGCAGGGATATCTCCCCTATGGTTTTCAAATCATCGTCTGCTTCTGTGCTGCTGTCGGCTATCGCTTGCCCGAAGTTGGAAAGTTGTAGGCGGGGGGGGGCGGGGGGTGTTTCTGTATTATCTTCGTTTTTGTGTTAAATTTTGTTGTTTTTTTGGAGAGGACATGATGACTCGTTGACTTGAACTTTTGATTGGAATCCAAACTTGAAGTGTGATGTACTTTTCCCTTGCGTGCAGGCAGAGAGACCCTTCCGTGGTCTCCCGCGCTGAAGGGAAAAACAGAAAAGAATAACAAGCAAGGGTCCGCAGCCCGAGCCCACTGGTACGTTGGAACGGATAAACATGCGTAAGAATGAGCGAAAGAATGGAACGAAGGCTGACGCAGCCAGAGAAGGCAGCAATTTGCCCTGCAGTGCTTCTGCTGTTCTGTCTCTCTCTCTCTCCCCCTCTCTCGCTCTCGTCCTCTCTCTCTCTCTCTCATTCCCCCCCTCTCTCTCTCCCTCTCTCTCTGTCTCTCTCTCTCTGTAACTCATTCTTCTGGCTTTCTCGCTCACTCTCATTTTCTCGTGCATGCTTTGTTTACTCCGTCTACAAAATAATTTGTTGAATCAGGACTGGTGCCTACAGAAGGACTTGTGCTCGGATGAAATAGACGCGATACACCTGCTGAACCGCATGCTGGAGAGGGGCCTGCTGCACCACTGCCGCCTCAGCAAGCTCGTCGAGCCCAGCGATACCGCTTACTACCGCTTCCCTCAGGACCACTTCAAGGTAGGCACACGCCGTCAGATGCCGGGACAAGTTAATAGAATATTTTCGAAGAGAACTAGCTGTCTCAACAGCAAGAATTGGCCCAAGAAGATAAAAGCTATTGTGTGGGCGAAACAAGAACGAAAAGAGTCAAAAACGAAACATGTGATGGGGAAAGGCCTACTGCTGTGGAGGAGAACCCCCCCCCCCCCCACCGCCCACCCACTATCCAACTAACGAAAACGAAAAACATGATGGGGGCAAGGCCTAATTTTGCGCGGAGCTCCGCCCCCAACCCCAACCCCCCGTGCACCGTAAGAGTCGAAAACGAGAAACATGATGGGGGCAAGGCCTAATTTTGCGGAGCTCTCCCCCCACACTCTGCCGGCCAGGTGCTGGTGGACCAGACGGGGGCGCAGCAGTCGGTGCGAAGACGCCTGCGACCGAACTCGAAAACCCTGCACGGGGAGGCGGCCCTCAAGGAGAGGTGGTATGCAGACGTGCCCACCCTCCCCTCCGACAAGGTGAAAATAAGCTTCATTCTGCATGTGTAAACATGTGTATCTTGGATATCAGGATATCATGTGTATGAACGCAGACTTGTGCTTGGCCACCCTCCCCTCGGACAAGGTGCAATTTACGCTTCTACTGCGTGTGTTGTCATGCGTATCATTTGTATCGTGTGCATCTTGGATATCAGGGTACCATGTATATGATGGAGGTGGTACGCAGACGTGCCCACCCTCCCCTCCGACAAGGTGAAAATAATCTTCATTCTGCATGTGTATCATGTGTATCTTGGATATCAGGATATCATGTGTATGAACGCAGACTTTGTGCTTGCCCACCGTCCCCTTTCGGACAAGGCGAAATACACGGTTCTTCTGCATGTGTATCATGCGTACCATGGGTATGATGCAGTGCCAAGAAAATGTGTGGGTGTGAAATCAGCTTCTAGCTGCCGTCAGCGACGTTTCCCTAAGCTCGAACAGCTCCCAAACAGCCGACGTGCTTTTTGACTCGAAGAGCCCAGCGAACCGAAACAAATGTATACAGTCTTGTCTTGTGCGTGTGCGCAACGAGGGTCGGTTACTGGCCACCGACAGGTTTCGTGAACGTACGGCATGGTGACCGGAGGTTGTTTTTGGGTGCGGAATGGGGCTTTTTTTCCGCGTGTGTTGCGGCTGTGGTAGAGCGGTGAGGAATGCTGGGGCGAGAGAGTGTTGAGGGACGAGGAGAGTTGGCTTGAAGGGGGGATGAAAGGAGACACGGATGGGAGGTTGCGGGGGGCTTCGTTGGTGAGAGGGTATCTAAGCGTCTACGGAGATTTGGAGGGCAACGGCGAGGATTAAAGTAGGGTGGGGATTGAGGGACGCAGCATGGGACGCGACGGGGTGTTGCCGAAGCCTGAGGGCATAGAAAACACAGCCGTAGGTGGCGAAGGTTTGAGGGCGATGATGCCTGATACTCCTGCTGCCGTTGCGCTGCGACCGCACGAAACAAACTGCATTTTTTTGTTTCCCAGGTTCGGAAACACGGGCGAGTGCTTCAGAGGCTGCAGCCCCGCGACGTGACGAGGGGGCTCCGCAGATACCCGATGGTGTTCCAGGGCAAGGAGGCGGTGGAGCTGCTGATCGACACCGGCAAGGCGAAGGACACGACGGACGCGTTGGCGATCGGGAACGCATTCTTACGTGAGAGATCTTTGTAGATTGTGTGTGTAAGAGATTTCCTGGGATTCTTTTACGTGTGCGACATCTCCGTAGATTGTGGATCTCCGTGGGTTGTGTACATTTGTAGGTTTAGTGGGTGAGATCTTTGTAGACTATGTGTGTCAGAGAACCTGGGATTCTTTACGTGTGCGACATCTCCGTAGATTGTGTGTGGGAGATCTCCGTTCTTTGTGAGTGTGAGCGACCTCTGCCTATGTGTGTGTTTCATGAGCATGGACTCATCATGATCATGAACAACTTATTGTTTGGATTCTCGCTCTACAGGGGCCGGTCTATTCCACCAAGTTAATCTGAGGGCGCCTCTTCGAAACGATGAGACGCTGTACCGCCTTGCCGGGAACCAGTTTGCGATTCTTGTGGTGAGCACGATGCGCGTTATGTTTTGCTAGCCTCGATTTGAGTTGGTTGGGGGGGCAACCAGGCTAGGACCAAAGTACAAAGGTTTTCGACCACGCTACAATTACACCCGGCAAACTGGAATATTTCGGATGAAAAGAAGATGTTGGACCACGCCACGAACTGTGGGCCATGGACGACGCATGCCATGCTGCTGTGTCCCTTTGTGGTGGATAGTTGGCCTGTGACCACGGAAGGCGCCGGCCTCGGTTGGACCAGTACGGTCGACCAGCGCACACCAACAGTTGGGAAAAGGAAGAAGGTGTTGTTCATGGATGAACGCCCCCCCCCCCCCCCCCCTTCCCC